TATTTTTTTTTTTTTTTTTTTTTTTTTTTTTTTTTTTTTTTTTTTTTTTTTTTTTTTTTTTCAGTCTTCAGGATAGCTATTCTTCACATTTCCCACATAAAATACCATGTTGCAGGTTGGCCAGGACTCTTATCCCTGGAGACATTCCTACCTGAGCCCTCCACAGGACCACTGAGATCCTGGCTGTGGCAGCAGGATCATCAAAATAGATTTCATATCCCTTTGTGCTGGGGCTTTTGTTTCCTCAGGAAACCTGCAGAAGGTGGAGCGAGGAGGCAGCTGCTGGGGCCAGCTGTCCATGGCCTGGACAGTGTGGAGATGGGCTCCTTTGGCTTCTCTTCTGTAGAGACTGGGCATCCCCACATGCTCTGAGGGCTCCCCTGGTGCTATCACTCCTCGGCCTGCTGCTGTTGTGTTCCTGGTGTGTTCCTGGAGCCCGAGCTCTGAGCCAGGCTGTGTCACCAGGGGCAGGAGGGGCTGGGGGACCTTCTCATGGTTTCATGCAGTGCAGCAGGGTTTTTTCTTTTGTTTTGTTTTTCCCAGTGCTGTTATCCTCAGAAGCCGGGTTAGATCTCAGAGCTATGACTCTTACCAGGCATATCCAGGCATATTTCAATGGTCTTTCTCTGCTGTTAACTTTTAAGACCTTAAAAGCACAGAGATGTGAAGTGCTGCAGAGCCAGTTCAGATACCCCTCCTCCTTCTTGCTTTTGGAAATTACTGATTTTTGCCTAAAAAGATAAAAATAGGCAAATTGCTGTTAGATTAGAAAGTGTTGCCACTTTGATATCAGGCCATGGAATGACTTAAGGTGTTACAGTGTTTGAGAAGATAGCCCCGTGCTGGATCCATAGCATGGTTGTCTGTCTTGTGTGGCCTGAACGTGGATTTTCGGTGTTGAGTGGGTGCCGTGGGTAGGACAGGGTCTGTGCTTGTAGCATTGGGGCAAGACACGGTGGGAGATGCCCTTTGCATGATGTCTGCTGTCTCAGTGGCATCTCCCAGGTAAGAAGCTTGGCTGTGATGCTAGGATGGCATTCCTATGTGGGACATCTGGCTTTTGGCTTGAAATGGAATTATTTATTTTCTGTGAGGAAGTCAGGCTGTTTTTTCTGACAGTCAGCAATTCCTTCCACTTTGATGTAGAAGCACTAAGATTGCTAGCTATGAAATATTTTAAAAAAATAAAAAATATATATCTGTTTTCTGGAGTTTCCATCCTTGAGACTTCCTTTTCTTCTTTACCTCTCCCCAGAAAGCTGTGCCTGGTAACTTAGAGGAGTTCAGTGGCAGGGGCTGTTGTGTGGCCTCTGAGAGGGTTTCATCAGTGTGATTGAGTGCGGAGAAGAGATGCTGGGATGGGGGTGAGCAGGGGGCATCGGGACGGCACCGTGTCTTGTAGCCAGGGGAGCCCGTGTGCCGGGCAGCACTGGCTGAGGCCATGGTGCCATATGTGAACCCTTCCGTCTCCTTTGCTTTTTCCAAGTTGGACTGAGAAACACGGCCGGCAGAGCTCGTCTCCCTTCCTGTGGATTTCTGTGAGATTATGTTCTCAACAGACTTCTCATCTAGCGTGTTTCTTCTCCCCTTCCCGGGAAGTCATAGCACTTCAGGGCCAGGAGGAGGGATGGAGGGGGCGTCTGTTGCCTGTGGTCCAGGTGCTGGGACCTCGGGGGGGTGGGAGACCGTCCCCCACTACGGCTGGACCGGGAGGGACCCCAGGGGCACTGCAGAGGCTGCTCCTGGCACAGCACGTGTGTTCCCCACACATTCGCCATACGTTTTAGGAATTATTCCCAAGACCCACATCTGAGGAGACTCAGAATTTGTACTTGGGATTTGGATTTTTCACAGAGACAGTGGAACGTACGTTAGTTGTTCGTTTGAGGAACTTTGAAGTTCAAGTGCTTTTTCTAAACTCTCCAGTTTTTGGCCAATTTGGTTATTTTTGCTTTCAGATTTCTCCAAATTCAGGTCATCTGCCCTTCTGCACATAAAGCCTGATCAAAGAGTGTGACCTTTGGGAGAGCAGACCTTATATATACATCCACATTTATAAGGAGAGAAGGAAAGATCGCAATTTGAAGCAGGCTTGGGGGGAAACAGAGATTTGTACTCGATTTTCTCTGCTACTGTGGCCTAATTTCCCAAATGCAGAAGGAAGGCTTCCTTTCTTCCAGCCACCACTGATCGCTTCCAGCTCCGGCTGAGGAGGTGGAGCGCGAATTCTGGGCCTCAGAAAACGCAAAAAAAAAAAATTCACATAAACATTGTTGAGCTGAGGATAGTAAGACTATTTCTGCTGATAAAGGATCATAGTAGAGAGGTGTGCGTGCTGCACTGAGTCACCAAGTTAAATATATCCCTTCGTCACAAGTTAGTGGTAAAATGCAAATGAAGCCCGTATTTCTCAAAGCTGTTCTCGTGGGAGGGCTGGGAACGTTCAGCAGCTGGAGCCGCCGGTGTCTGGGAGGGCTGGGCTTCTGATCAAATACCTTCCTCTCAAGCACCGTCCCACCACATGTGTTCATCTCAATGCCAACCCTAAATGAAAAGCAGGGGGACAGGGGGTGATGGTCCCAGCAGCTGTGTCTCAGCCGGTCTGCACACCCCTTTTCACTCTCCCAGCAGCAGCGCTTTGTTTTCACCCAGAATCAACTGGATCCAGCTGCTCCTCGTTCCCAAACCAGCCTGCAGGTGCTGAGTGAGGGCACCAGTCTAAAAGGCCCAGCAGGGACTGGGGGGACTGGAAGGGCAGAGGTGGCTGCGGTTCATGGGAGCATCGGGCGCAGGACTCAACCAGCTCAGCCCAGAGCAGTTCTCCCAGTTTAATTTCCCGAGGACCAGTGATGGATTTCGTGTGCTCCTGCCACCTCAATGCAGTTCCTTACTGCATTAAAAGAATACATTTGGGCCTTGTTCTGGAAATATGGGGTTGTTTTGCATTACTAGCTGTGATGTGGTGCTGTTTGGGTTTTTTTTTTCCCCAAATATGTAAGAAATCAACAAGGAGTCAAGTGGCATCACTAGTCTGTTGGCTGAAGCCTTTCTTCAGGAGTGGTACCTCAGTTTAGTCTGTGTTTTGCTGGTAGGCCCATGTTCAGCTTCCCTGTTTCCCTTGTTCTTTGAGTTCTCTATGTTCTTCCCATGGAGGGAAACCACGGGACGGGTGGTGGGCAAAGTGATATTCAGTGTTGGTGTAAAATGCTGTGGCTTTCCTGGGGTGAGCTGGTGCTGCAGCTTTGGGAGCCCGGTTCCTCAGGCAGTGCAGGTGGGAGCAAGCAGGAGTTAGTCCGGGAGGGTTCAGGTGAGATGTGGGGGGAGCCCGGTTGCGGGTAAGTCACCGTTCATCAGCTAAGGAGGATCCACTGGAAAGCTTCAGCATGGAGAACACCTTGTCAGTACCTGCAGGAGCTAGGATCAGTTCCTCGCTGGCGTTGGGCGCTATCACCACCAGGCTGTGAGGAGAGGACAATAGTTGCCTCTGAGCTATTCGCCACCCTCTGGTTGCCCGAGCCCGTGGACATACGCTCTCCCCACAGTGCCGGGACCACGTTTCCACCGAGGGGTCCCTGACTGGGTGAGCTGAGGCAGAACAATCGCTGGCGCCCGTCCCCTCGCGAAGCAGCTGTGAGGAGGCCATATGGCGCGGTGCGAGCCAGCGAGCGCAGGGTCGGTGCTGCTCCGAGCCGCTCAACTCTCTCCCCTCCCTCTCTTTTCAGGTGGCCATCATTGCAGGAAATTTTGAATTGGCTGAAATCATCAAAACCCACAAAGAGTCCGATGTTGGTGAGTTGGATCTTTCTTCTTCCCCCTTCTCTCCCTTCTCAGTCCTGCTGCGGAGCGCGGGGCTGTTGGCCTGGGGCTGTTATGGGGGGGTTTCCCGGTGCTGCCTGCGGTGGTGGGTGGAAGCTGCGGCTCGTTTTGGGTGTGGGGGGTGGCAGGAGAGCTCTGCTTCCTCCTGGGGCCACCAGAGTCCAGTTTGTTCAGTCCAGTCTTTGCTGGTGACTGCTGAGGTTGCCAAGCTGAAGAATTAGCCGCGCCATTGGTCTGGAGAGCTCTGAAAAGCTTCTGTAAAATTCCTTACCTTTTGCATCCCTGTTTGCGTCCTTGGGGCCATTTCGTGTGGGAGATCCTCTCCTGCTGAGCTGTCAGCTGGGTGCTGCGGGAGGAGACACCCTCTGTCTTAGTGACAATGGTCACGGAGCTGCCCCACGCTGAAGCTCCTGTAGGTACAAGGGAAGCAGCAGCCTCTCTGCTTGGACTTGCTTCTGACGGAGGAGTTTTTTGGATTTTCTCTTCAGCCTTTTTCCTTGTGGCATTTCTTCTGTGGGGTAGGTATGACCATGTGATATATTATATGCTGTGCCAAACTGAGCTTTAGGTCAGATATAAAATCAGCACTTACTGAGTTTTCTTGAATTATTCTGAGAAGTTTGATGGTCCGGAGCTCTCTAGAGCAATGGAGGAGCCAGTGCAAAGAGTGAGTTCACTGTGTGTGTGTGTGCCTGCACAGAAGGTGCAGAGTCATTGGGTCAGCAGCTGAAAAAAGACCTGTGGAGTCTGAAACAGGCAGCAAGTGTTGGGCTTGCTTCTTGGACGGGGCTGTGAATCTGGAAACCTGGGCCCTGAGGCACCCTTTGTCGCTTCTTTTCTCAGGCAGCTATTGCTGAGAGCTACAAACAGTTCTGAGGATGTGTGGGAAGACCTAAGAGTCAGAAAGGACATGGGGAAAAGCCTGAAAATTCCTTATAATTATGTCAGTAAACAGTGTGTGCAAGAAAGTCACCCTGTTAATTCAAAAGGGTAGTGACTGTCTGTGCTGAGAGAGGAGTTTTGGACTTCGTGACCTCCAATGGTCCCTTCCAGCCTAAATTCTTCTGTGGTGAAGCTGAATCTGTGGTTGACTGGCTCAATTATTTTTATTGGAAAAGTGTAAGAAAAAAGGGCATGAAAACATGTCAGGTAGGATGAATTCTTCATGTTTTTGATAAGGCTGTGTATATAAAATAGGTCAGGTAACAGTTGCAAACTAATCACAGGCAAACCAGCAGGTCCAGATGGCTTCCACCTGGGGTCACGGGAGGTGGCAGTGAACTTCCCCAGCAAGGAGAAATTGTCTTTGGAAGTTCATTAAGAGCTGAGAGGTGCGAGTGTCTGACCAGAGGAGAGCAGACTGGTGTTACTGGGGAGGAGGAAGGGGCAGTGCTTGATCTTTTCTGCAATAGCTCTGTCAGAGCAGCTGAAGAAATCATGAAACCCAGAATCTGGTGGGAAGGGCAGCCTGGTCAGTGATGGCTCCTGGAGAGATCGTCCTCTCAAGTTCCCAATGTTAGGCTGCACTTGTCTGACTGTGAGACAAGAATTGGCGGCCCTGCCACCGGAGGTATCCATGGAGGACCTGCTGTGTCAGGGCCGAGGGAGGAAGGATGGTCAGCAGCACCTTTTGCTCTGTTCTGCAGGACAGCCCTTAGCATGCAGCTGAGCTTCCAGCCTCTTCAAGTGTCCATCCATGCTTCTGTCTGGACCTTGAGAGCTCTTCTGAGGTGGAGCTGGCTGTCCCCACTCGCTGTGCTTTGTCCTACAATGTAGAGCAAGCCCGGAGGGTGTGAACTGAGTTGCTTTCAGGTGAAAATAACCCAGAAGCTGTTTCAGAAAAACACCTGAGGTGCTCCATCTGCTGAGAGGTGCCCAGCCAGGGGCAGCACAGTGGGAAGTAAGGTGCCCAGCGTAGGCACCGGGTGGTCGGTGAGAGCTGTGGATGGCCCACTGGACTGCAGGACTTCTTGTGCAGGCTTCGCTGTGGTTCCCAGTGCTAAGGTCTCTGTCTTTTCAGTCAGGGCAGAGACTGAGAGCTGCTTGTTTCATCGCAGCCACCAGCACTGGGGTCCAAGGAGGTCAGAGTGGAACCTCCAAATCTGAGGAGGGAGAACAGGTTCTTACAAGTAGAAAACATTTGCAGAGACTGTGGAATTGGACAGTTCCATCAGACTGTGCATGGAACTATTCCATAATTTCTGGTTTTTAACTTAATCTCATGTTTTAGGGATCTGCAGACAGACAACGCCATGAATGGCAACTGCTGTACTTTATTTTCTTGGTTGGACTGGAGAGGTTGGGTCGTGAGGACTTGCCAAGGCCACTGCAGACCCTCTTGGTATATCCCAGTGCCTGTTGGTCAGTGCAGCCCCTGCTGTTGCCCACATGGGAATGATTTCTGTGGAGTGGAAAGGGCAGCTCTAACCCTCTTCCTCAGCAGCAGGAGGGTCTCCTGGGGTATGGCTGCAGAGCCTTGTCTCCCACCGCCTCAGGCAGGTCTGGAGACCTTCTCAGTTCAGCACATTTACTGGTAATGGCTTGGGGAAGTCTAAGCCACTGACTGCAGCACGCTTGAGTTGGTTTGCAGGGGCTGTATATAAAGGGAGGGCTCCCTTCAGGGGGGGTCCTGAGCTGGGTGTTTTGTTCCCAGCACAGCCCCCAAAGACGGCCCTGGAAAAAGGCTGCGTGTTGAGCAGGAGCACCAGGAGCTGGTCAGTGGGAAACAGGATGGTGTCTGAACCCCAGGGCCTCTCTGGGGTACCACTGCCAGCCTCCTGGCACGACCCCTGGGCGTTCAGGTCTGAAATCCACAGTGACGTTTATCAGTCCAATGTGCAATTCCCTCACAGTCAGATGCACACCACTGTACCTGGTGTCACTAATACATCTGTAATGGTGTTAATTGCACTTCGGATTTGTATCAGTTGGATCCTGTGCTGGGTGCTCCAGAATTTTCATGGTCCATCTTTGTAGGAAGTTGTCTCAGCCTGCAAGTTTTAAAGTATTTGTTTCAGTGACTTAGTAGCTGCTTAGTGACTGCTTTGCCGTCATGATGACACAAATGCCTCTTTCTGCTCCTTTTAGAACATAATTCTGTATCTACGAAACGGCCCAAAAGCTTTCTTTGAAGTTTCCTCCATGCTACAAACCACTTGGTTTTCTTTAATATTTTTAGCTCCCTTTATCGATTTTGTGTGTATTGTAACTCCATATTGATTTCAATTATTTTCCATAATTACAGAATAAATATATTCTGCAGGAGCAATTGATGTCTTCATTTTGTCACTCATCCAAATAGGCATTTAACCGTAGTTGCTTTGTTTTCATAACTGTGGTTTAATAACTTTTCTCTGTTTGCTAATTTTTCAGAAACTCCCAATTTTCATTCATATTTTCTCTCCCTGCCTGAGAGTAGATCTGGAGGAATAATGTAACATTAGTTCAATGCCGAGAAATTATCCTTAAGCGTTACATGTGCGTAAGGCTGGCTGGGGCTGCCTTCCCTTTTCTTACACTGAATATAATCGGGTCATGATTCATGGTCACTAAGCAACCACCAGCTTCAAGTCAAAGGAATTAATTCATTATCAGTCGTAACGAGACCCAAACCAGTTGCCCCGTATGACGTGGAACACCTTTTTGTTGGGGGACGGTGATGTGCAGCTCTGCCTGAGCTCACCAGCCTGAGGCTGCCAGTAACAGCACTTGTTTTCCTCCCGTGTATGGGCAGGGCTGGGGAGTAGCCCACCCCTCAGACACCCCGCCGTGTCCCTGCTTTTGGGATGGGTTGGTCCCTTGACCCACATCTGCTCGAGGCCCCGCAGCCCTGGTGCACCATCAGCTCTGTGCAGGCAGTGCTGCTGGCAGAGCCTTCCCCTCTCCTGCTGCTTTGGGGTGGTTTTTTTCAAGATATTTGGGCATATGAAGACATAGATTGGATGTAGAAAAGGTTGGGAAATGACCTGGTCACCAATCTCCTCGTTAGGTGTCCATCCCAGGTGGAAAGCAGTGTGTATCCAATTGCACATGGCCCCATTCGCTAGTTCCTTCTCAGCGTGAGCTGACACCAGGGCATTGATTTAGAGAGCAGCATATTAGGAAAATTATGTGAGACTTTGGGCATTGAATTGTCAGGCTGAGAAGCCTCAGCTTTATGGTGTCTTATACCTCAAACCAAAGAATGTTACTTCTTATTAATGAGGGTGTTCTGGAGACAACTCGAGATCAGTATCTCTTCAGGTGCCCTCCTTATCTGAAGCCTGTCCCAGGTATGTCCATGTGCTGCCAAGCATCTGTCAGAAACGCTATGTGGGACCTCAGTGTGGGGTTACCCAGAGTGTGAAAAATCTAACATCTTCCCATGCCACCGACTCTTCAAGTTCTCCCCTGTTAAGAGGAGAACAAGTTTGAATTGGAACAAGATCATCTGTAAGGTCCCTTCCAACCCAAACCATTCTATGATTCTATGAAATACACCCCAAAGGATTTAAAAGACAGCATTTTGCTTCATATCACTTGTTGCTAAGATCCAATAACTTGTTTATAATATTCACTGTCTGTAAAACATTTTTTGTCTCATGAGGGAAGTGATGCCATTTCAGATCTTTGACTATCCATGTTGCCCTGGGCTGAACCTCCTCTGGCTTATTGGCTCTTTTGAGATGGGGGATTTCTACAGTGGCATAAGGATATCTGCTTTTCTTTCTGCATTTTCCTAATGGTATTCTGTGTTTGAATAGTGTTTCTAGCCACTACCAAGCTCAGAGAGAACTTTTTCTTGGAGCTGTGATGTAGAATGGCATAGACCCTCTCACGTAGATGTGTATGACAAGCGGAAGTTATGAAATTTCTTCTTCCTTTCTAACGTTTCCCCTGGATCCCTTCTCAGAGGAGCTTTTGGAAAGTGCTAAAGGAGGTAGATGTTGAAAGATTTTGTATGGAAGCCATAAATGAGTTCTTGTACAATGGAA